TCGCACCTCACAGTTACTGGATGGTGTTCTAGAACTTTCGATGAGCTTCACCATATTGCTTCCGTTCCCTGAGATCAGTATACCAACCTGAAACAGCTACCATCGTCATTATGTACACCAGTCAAAATAGTGGGAAAATTCAGAGAAAATTTCCACTTCATTTTTTAGACCGGTCGTTTTTGAACGCCAAATGGCAATGGACGCGATATTTTCGAACATTTCAATGAATAACTTAGTAAAATCAATCTTCTGAATTCCAGGGATGTGGCCACGTAAATTTCACGCACCAATAGACTGAGCAGAAATGCTACTTCGAGCGATGATGGCACCGGAACTTGACTATGGAAATGAAATGAGTTTGATTAGGTTTAAATTTTGCAAAATTTCCTAGTTTCTCCGTCTTTGACATCCTTTCTTATTTTTTCTGGGGGCTTATTTATTGAAAAAAATGATTTTCCAAAAGTTCTGTAAACTGTGACAGCTCAAGAGCAGGCATATGTTTGTTCATCTCTCGTACTCATTGGCTGTGTGAGTAGAGGAGGTATAAACATGAATAAACCAAACTTCAGCATACCTTTATTTTCGGCTTCGGAGGCTGCACATACTTCGATGAGAATGCATCATTCAAGTTCGTGAAGTTTAAAAGAGAACCTGAAGTCAAGACATAATGTGAAAACTACTGGAAACCTGTAGGCAATGGATGGACCTTAGAGGATTCGTTAGGATCCCTTACTAACTCGACAGGTGACAGGAGTTCTAGGCATAAGGGACGATAAGTTGACTGCGTTTTAGGAGTCAGACGCATAACTGACCAGAGGCAAACCGTTTGCCTGAGCAAGGTACGTGTAATGCTTTCGCAGCGCGAATCTCTCGAGCGGCTTCAATGAAACCCTACATACAGGGCACGCCATCATTGTGATGATCACAACGGGGGGGGGCCGTATTCGACTGCGAGGAGGGGGGTCTACATGGTCTGAGAGCATTTTTTGATAGTTGATTTCTCTTGTTTCATGGACGCTATAAAAGGAGGGGAGGGTATTTGCTCGTTGTTGGGAGGGGGATCTCTTTGAGAGGAACTCGCATCGTCCGGGAAAAAATATTCCCGATTGTTTTGGCTTTTGCGGCTTTTTCCCGATTTCACTGGTGCCTACATACACCGCCCCCCCCCCCGTGCGCTTTTAGGTTGTCGGCACTGCCCAAAGATCTTTAACACAAACTACTATTTCCTATAGTTGTAGAAAAGTAGTTAGATCTGAACGACTCGCCACCCCTTACACAACCTATTTCCAAAAAAAACTTGGGAAAGTTAGGGGAAATCTGGGAAAGTGGTAGGTAGGATGGGAAGGAGGGGGGTCGTATCAACTAGGGGGTTGTATTTTTTAGGAATTCATCACAACGCGATGGCGTGCCCTGATTACATAACGTACCTCGCCGCATTCAGTCTAAGATCATCGCAGAAGATTTGGCCGTTTAGCTACTTCATGTACATTCCATATCCCGGACATGGAGAGGGCGTGACCACCGTGGCGGCAGCTGCACATTTGTGAGATGCCGTTGTGGGTAATAATCATGTCTTTCACCAGCATAAGACAAGAAAACTTTTGGTCCATGCTGAAAGACCCCACGGAAAGTGCATCGTACACTACGTTCAAATGAAGTGCGTTGCCACGCCTTCCTCATCTCCAGAATATGTTGTGTAGTCATCTCCGGGACCTACTGAATCATAAAATTCCGGAACCTGTTAGCCATCGTACAGTGATGGGCAGCAGTTGGTCTTCCACAAAGCTCGATCCAACGGAAGAGCAACTTAGCGCCACCCCCCCCCCCCAATGAATGCACGTACATGTTGTACTGATAAGGCCCTTGATCATTACGGTGGAACCGGAAAGTGCTCACGATGTGGTCTATTAAAATACAATGACAAAAGGGAATATGCGATTAAAAATGGACTAAGCCGGCTCACTTCCTTGCCTTCTGACGACCCTTCCAATGTGAACAGCATGTTCTCCGCTTTCTTGTAATCGTTGGATAACCTCATCAGTCTTTGAGGCTGCAACCACTAGAACCATACCGATACCACTGCAACAGAAACCTTATTATTACTTGTTTATATGCATATTTATTCGCGACAGTGCAAATAGCCCTTTCATCACTGGCAGCATTACAGTATAGAAACTAACACTTAGAAAGGGAAGGATATCCAGAAAAATTCGTTTGTACGCTACTGATACCACACTGAAACGGTCAGACTAGTAGACTATTGTGCTGCACTAAATTGGCTGGTAAGAGCGCAGTTCAGCGACGGGGAGGGCAGTTTGTACTATCATTGCTTCCTTAGTTCTGGTTTACAAGCCTCACTCTGGCGAAACCTGTGACACTTGTGAAAAGAGCAAGTTTGTCAAACCATGGTAAAACCTGTAAACACGAGAACGGGCTGTGTAGATAGTTCTACACGTCCATGGGAAGTAGCCCCCCCACGTCGCCGAACTGCGCCGTTGGTAAGTTAGACCTGTCAGCGCCTCTCCACAAAAGGCATATAGAGCCGGGTACCGCTTCTTGACTACATATAAGGACAAACTGAACGTTCACCCCGTTGATCCTAGTCCTTTCTGTTTGTGGGGATGAATGGGTGTTGCAGTGGCGTGTCAGTTCGCCTCTCAGAAGTGCAGGGCAACGAAAACGAAGGGTAGTGGTACGCGTGCCGTCTCCATGCCCCGTCCGCACTCCTGCACGACCAGCCACACGCCTATTCATAGCCATACGCGTTCTTTGCCTGCACTCTGTATGATCTGGTTGTTCTCCACCGTTGACTCCTGGTTTCGCTGAGCGATCTTGATATCTACGCAAGTACTACACTGTCCTTGAACTATACCTCAAATTCACAACGGCCTCTCGAGGCATCGTTTTCTACGAGCGCTATGGATCTGGTGACCGCCTTTCTATCACCCACCAGTAGCACCCCTGTCCAACCCCCTGCATTACTTACTGGATGCAAGCAATGTCTCGCTGCAACTGGGACGGGCGCTTTTTGGGCACGAGACTGATGCGCACATACATGCATTCAGCGGACAGGTAGTAGGATGTTTTCACAATTTCGTTCCCATGAAAAATGGATATGGACAAAAATTCATACCAGTTGAATGTGCGCAGCATCATACTCGACTCCACGGGTCCCATCCCTGCTAGCCAGTTGAAGATTTCGGGCTTCTTCCATGATGCCGCGTCTACCTACAAAGGTGCCCTGCTGAGATATCTTCAGGGAAGAAATATGCAATCACAGTGAGTATGGTGTTATTTGGGTGTCCTTACTTCCATGGACAACTGACTGTCATTGTCGAGTACTCGGGGAAGATTCTCCTCTATGCCTCCACCGGTGATATGAGCACAACCCTTCACGAGACCTTCTTTCAAGAGTGGAAATACTGATCGGACATACAAGCGAGTTCCAGTTAACAACACTTCACCTGGAACATCCGTTCTCCTGCAGTTACTCACAAAAAGATTCAAATTTCATATTAAACCCCCCCCCAATCCGATACAGTTGATTGGTACCAAAGAACAGCTGTGTTATAAAATGAACGTGAAAGTTAGAGACCGGCTAAACCAACTGTTACCCAAGGTGAATGTTGCTAGCGAAAGATATTAAGGTGAGAAGGCGAACTTATTCATAGTTGAAACAACAAACCGAAGGTTTCTTTTGGATTCCACGGCGTCGGGTCCTTGTAGGAAACATCATTCATCTTAAAAATCTTCCTCACAAGTGAAAAACCATTTGAGTGTAATCCCGAAGACGGCAAGCCTATTAGGACATCACCAACGCACATACTGGAATTGGAGAACCTTTGCTAGAGAATTTCGTCGTTTCAGTAAAAGCTGGAGGGATTCAATCGTATACTCAAAGGCATATGGCACGATAAATTGGTAGCCGGTCGAAAATGATAGGGTGGGGTGCTATATAGTGGGGAAAATGGCGAAAAAGCGAAGTGAAGCGGTGAAAGACCTGCAGAGAATGCTTTTCTTCTACTCGATTTTGGACGAGTTTCCCGTTGGTGACATGCCAATCACCGCTACGTTAGTTGAGGCTGCATTCATGTACTTATATGTTCATGCATACTGCTGCCCCTGAAATCCCTTCGCTTCATATTGTACTTCGCAAATGACGCAATGCGAGCATCAGGTACGGTCGTCCACTTGTGGGCGGGCGGGCACGGTGGGCGTCCGCCCACCCACAACTTGCCCACAAATGGACTGACTGTAGGTCGGTATGTTGCAGCCTGATAGGGTCTTATAAGGGTACATTTCTTAAAGGCGCTACGCAGCGCCTACTCAGGGGTGCGGAATTCCGTCCTGCCATGCGTCTTAGGGATCTATCGTGCTAACCGCCTTCAATGAGCGCGAAGAAGATTCCAAAATGACACCTTTCACTATGCAGAACCTTTTTGGAGTTGGTCAGTTTCAGCCAGTGATGGGTCGCGCGCCCAGCTATCAGCACACCGCTGGCCAGGTCGCCATGAGCATGGACGGTAGACCCTGGCAGGGCATTCTGCCAGTTCACTACCTCAGCTAAAGTCCACAACGAGTTGAGATAGCTCCTTCCTTCGACAACGTTATCACCGTCAACTTATTTTAGCACTGAAGACGCATGTCCCAACAAAATCCTGTAAAACTTCGGCGAGCTATTGAGCTCGCAACTTCGCCCTTCTTCGGAACTTACCGACTAGGCTGCAATCAGACTCCGATACAAGCTCTGGCAATGGAGGCGACCACCTCTCTGGCACGATCCTTCTTCAGCCGTCCAGTCACGTAGTAGTCCACGAAGGCGATAGGTGCAGCACAATGACAAAGGACGTCATTAACACACATACCAACAACGTCATATCCAATGTTTGAATAGTCGTTCAAAGCATCTGCTATCTGAAAGAACACTACATTCACGGCGCCGTCACTTCATTAGGCGATAGCTCGTCATGGCCACGATTATCACCACAATCACAGGCATGTGAATAAGAAAATGGCTAAATTCGGGGTCCGTGTTTAAGGCAATTCCCGCGACCACAGTTCATAGGTAATACAGTTCAAAAATAGAATTGCCTGTGTTTGTTGACTTATTGAAGAAGGAAGCACGAAAAAGCGCCCGGAATAAGACCCTCTTTATTGCAATTGATCATGATCACCGGACGAGCGTAAGGTGGTCAAGATCAATTGTGAATTGCGAAAGGCGGCGATACACTGATAAGAGACGAGAGAGGCCAGAAAACGACGGGCGAGAGAGCGCAATGGCAGTCTCACAACGACACGGTCACTGGAGGCCGGCATGGGCCTATCGGGCGCCAATGGGCCTAAAACCTGAGCGCGTTTTGCTTGCTGTTTTTCAACTTTTAAAAGCAGCATAGCCTCTGACGTTGCCTGCTTGACCATCGTGCACGGTTATGAGAACCTAGCCTTAGTTTATCGCGGAACGTGCCTTTAAGGATAGTTGGTACTGATTGATAGTATGGCGGTTGCCACGAACGAAATGGGCATGCGAAAAGAAATGCCTCTAATAGGCTCATCCGTGAAAGGAAAAACAAAAGGGAACGTCCTCCAGTAGGACTCCTACTAGCTGTAAACAGCTTTGATAGCACGGGCCACGAAAGTGTTTTGGGACGAGTCCCGTCAGCTGATTCCTTGTGAAGAAACCCTCAAACTTTAGAAGAGAAAATGATGTTCCTCATTTTTTCCTACTCGTCAGGAGGCATAGTTTTTTATTGGAAAGTGGGCATCGAAGGCCGAGTCTGGAGGC